TTTTTTGGAGTTCGCTCGACAGTGGGGTTTTAGCGGTAGCGATTACGACTCTCCCGATGGTCACGATCCCGGGATCGGTCGCTGGTCCTCCAGAGGAACTCGTCCACCGATCGGTCGTAGGATCTCTTGTCGGAGTAGCCGCTTCCTCGGGAGGGAAGGTAGTCGGGCAGATTATCGTAGAACCTGGGGCCCGTCGCGTAATTGCCGCTGCCGTAGATGCCGTGCGGAGGAACGTATGGTGGCAGAGGAGGTAGTTGGTTTTGCATGGTGCGCATGTAGTCGGCGACGTAGGCTTCAGCGGCGGCCGCCCGTCCCGAATGATCGTGATCGTAGAACATCGAATACCTGTCTCTGGACCTAGGCGAAGTCGACCTCCGGTACGGCGCGCTCGACGACGAGTTCAACCCTCTGCTGTTCAAGTAAAACTTCCTTCTGCTGTACGAACTGCCTCTACCGCGATACCCGAACGAGGAAGTCCTTGCCGCAATCGGCATCCTCGATTTCGGATGTCTCTGGACGTTATCCCGATTGTTTCTCACGCCGTTCTTCTTGGACGCGTCTTTGGCCAACCGCAGGATAGGCGTGATCTCGATCCCGTCATCCTCCGGGAACAATCTGCACAGCTCCTCCGCCACGCGCGGTTCGATCTCCTGTCCGTCCCGTCCGATCTTCACCGGTTTCCCCTCGTTCCACGGATTGTACAGGTGCATCGTATTGTTGAACCCCAACTCCTTGCGACAGATCCAATCCACCTTGAACACTCCGCCGAGAGCCTTCGCGGATAACCCGGGCGGCAGGACCCACGAAATCGGCGGCACATCGTGCCTGGACTCTCCGTGCAACCTCGCGAAACCGGCGAACTTTCCGCTCTCCTTCACCGAAAAAATCAACAGCACATTTCTGGACTCTCTATAAGCATGATTCAGATTAGCTTCATTCTGTGGCAACGTCGACCATACCCCTTTGGCTTTCGACAAGGTCACGTTCTCTGGGTTATTCGATTTGATGACAAAGAATCTGGCATCCCGAAACAGGTAATTCAATTTGGTGTGATAATCGTATGATTTGTTTGCCTTTGCATCCTTTGACCTGGCTCTTTTCGCTGCCGGCGAAGGACTCTTATCCTTGGAGTGACCCCTCTTGTGTCTGGACCTTCTACCCTTGCCACCCGAAGAGGCAGAACTCACTGAACTTATGCTCGGGGCACTGGAGCTGTCTGAACTGCTCGAAGACAGGTCACTCTCGTAGTTCACCTCATCCAACTTTATGTCGTCGCCCATGTCCAGACTGAGGTTCAGCTTCTCCGCGTCCAGACTGCCATTCTGGTTGCCGCTTTCAGAGTCCATTATTATTATTATTAAGACTCTGCTCACTTGTTTTTTTTTTTGTTGTTGTTGTTGTTCACCTCCACCTCTCTGTGGCTGCCTCTTTATCTGTGTGCTGTGCAATAATCCACACCCAGACTCATCACACGGGGCCCGTTCTGCAGTTCGGATCCGGACGCAGACCGCTCTTTCGGACCGGATGCGCACTGTTTTTCACGAACCTTTCCACCGCTCTCGACCTTTTCAATATATATCTTTGCAATCGTCTTTTTCTCTATGTTTAATGCAGAGAAATAACCAAACCAAAACACTAAACAATCTCTGCTTATTATGTTGCACAAACTGTTTCTGGATGACATCGGACCTATACCAATGCAATAACAAGAAACTTACCAGAACCAACAGTTACTAAATTCAAAAACTTGTTTACTTCAAATTTAAATCTCCTAAAATTCATATCAATATACAACTGTATTATAAGATTATCATCTGGTAGTAGCATAATTCCAGTAAATAAATGTATTAAAATTTTATAAATAAAGAGAACAACATTATAACAAAAAAAAACATAAACATTAATGTATTACTATATTCATGTTTTCACTAAATGTTACTTTTAACTCTTCCTGTTAACGTTTTTAATTGTTGCTTTTGAAGATCATCAAAGAATAAATCAATTACGTAAGTGACCAAATATTTTATATACAATATACAAACATAATACCATGATTTCAAAACATTCCAGATCAGGTTTTACTTTTAAGTATTTTGAATGTTCATTGGTAAACGTCAAAGTAATACAATACAGTTTTATAGTTCCCTTCTTTATCCACTAAACAAAATAATAAATTTAAATTAATTAGTATACTATTTAAACGTTAATGCGACAAACGTTAATATTAGTGTTGGAATGAATGCAATTACGGAACACGTCAGCTTTAGGGCAAGTCGTTAAGTTCTAATTTGAAAATTACACCACAATAATCTACCATTAACCACTATTATTAAGTAATCTCAAACTTAGACCATTAGATGTTACATAGATGAATACAATCTGACGTTGCAATTGTGTTTTTCCTAAAAGCTATGATTCAATATTTGCTGATTTTTCAATATTTCAGTGAACTAATTTGAAAATATTTTATTTTTAGCTTTGTTCCTGAAGCAACCCAACGAAAACATGTGATGGTTCGCGAATACTTTTACCATTTATGGAATTGGAATTCTAAAGTTTCCGATGGAAATTCTTGAAGAAAGATGTGATGGATTGCGTAAAAGGAAACTTCCTGAGCGTTAAGTATATTGAAAATAAATATTTTAAGCATATTTCAACAAATTTAATTTACAATTTGAAACAGTGATGACATGATATTATGCCAATTACAGAGTTCAAAGTATAAGTGATTTTTTTTTTAAAGAAAGTCTCAGAACTTGTGATGCATTATGGAATGGAATTAGTATCAACTATATATTGACTAAGAAGATTAGATCCTATGTTTCATGATTCATATACAAAGATGATTACAATCTACAATTTGTGACTGTGATTGTTGTATTTTCTGGAATTTCATTCATTGGTTTTCCTGCTGCAAATGTACGTATGTTTTAGATAAGTAATTTTCGTGGATTATTATGTTATGAGATTGTACATATTCTGAAATTGATAACTGTTTCAGGGGTTATTCTTCGTTGCAAGTATGCGAGTAGGTTTCTGAGAAGGGAGGCAGGCAGATCGGATGGATGGTACTGGATGGTACAATGGGTTATAGGGGGGCCGATGGGTCGTCGCGGCGGCGGTCGTCGTCATCGGAGGTGCTCGTACGGGGCCGTAAGAATGCAAGGTCGTTATTGGCGAGCGCCGAAGCCCGGGCCCCGCCGTCCTGCGCTCTCCGCAACCACACCACCACCATCCATCCATCCATTCTCAGGTCTAGCAAGCGCCGCCTCGGTTGTTGATCTCCGGGCCTTCGTACAGAGAGACGATATACACAGAGTCCAAACGAATGTCTCCTCAGTGAATGATACATACCGAAGAGGAGCCAGAAGAACACAGATCGCCGAAGAAGAATACGAAGAAGTAATAATGGCCGGTCGCGGATCGCACTGAAAACCATACAGAGAGAGTGTGTGTGCGTGTGGACCTCTCCTCTTCAGCCCATCCTACTACTACACCTATATCTTCTTCAGTACGCGTAGTGAAGTGCACATCTACTACAATCATCGTCTTCATCATAGTAGGCCGGTGGTTGGTTGGTTGTTGTTGTTGAGTTCGTCTAGTGTGCGAGACACCCTTTCTCATATAACGTCGTGGTGACCATCGGAAAGGAAGGGAGTGGATTAAAATGGATTAACTCGTCCGGGACTTTATCGGAGACCGGGGAGGAGGAATCGCAGCTCTCCGCATCAGGTTCAGGTTAGTGCGCGTTCGATCTTCTTCGCTTTTTTCGGGGGAGGCGGCCAATCCCAATTTCGGCACCGACGACACGACAAACACGTTTCACGAGACACCCAAATAACGACAACAATATACTGCAAGTCTCTCTCATTCTCTCTTCTCCTGCACACATAAACATATATATATATATATCGGTTCATGTACATCTCTCGTTCCCTTCCTCGAAGTAATTGAACACCAGATAATTGCAAAATAAAAATATATACATTAAAACAAAACAAGCGCTATCGCTATCGCAACGAGGAAAACAATGCCATTTTTGCGGGGGAGGCGGTGGCCTTCCGTAAATGTCAATGCTGAGGTCAACTGAGATTTCGTTTGTTTTTTTATTTTTTCGGGAATTCCCGTTCATTTTCCGCTGTTCCCGTTTTATTTATTTCTTCCTCCTGCATTCGCCCGAAAAATCAATATGAGAATTGTGACTATCTGTCTTTCTCTCTCTCTCTCTCTCGCCGGTGCGTACGGAGAGACCAACCCCGTGGAGGCCGCTCTCCGCGTTACATATTTTAATTCCATTACAGCTCGAAAATCGATCGA